TTTCAGTTAAGATTGTAGATTCACGTGTTTCCTCGCTTCCCACTTTTCTCACTAGTCCAACCGTGGTCTTAAGGAAAAGTAATTTTGCGTTTGTATTTACCGTTTATTGTTGCAAATTTGCGCGCAAAGGTGTAGCAACGTTTCAACTCGCTGTTGTTCCAACAGCACTGAAGTACTCTTCAGTCTTATTATGAAAAGAATACGCGCTAATATAGGTATTTGGATATTCACTAAAAGAAGTAAATTGGTTTGGAAACTGAGAAAATGTTGAAATTGAGTGCTTATTGTCTGACAAGCGAAGAGACTTTGAAAATGGAGACAAAACGATTACACGGGGATTTCGTAAGGATTTCATAATCATTTCGGAGACACTGTCCCACGATTACATCAAGTGGTTACCCCCTTGGTTCGGGCAGCTGACGATGGAAGACAAATCGATACCTCTAGCGCACGCGGCAAAAAGCACGATAAGAGCGCGTAAGTTTATTCAAAGCCCCCCAAAGTGCATCAACGTATATTGAATCTGCATATTACATGCGCCACTCCCATTGATACCGCGTTGCCGTCCGCGAAGGACAATAAACAAGGCTCGTCCAACGCGTTCCGAACGACCGTCATAAATGATGCCTTAAGCCCCCGCCCCGGTTAAGGTCTCTCGATGACATCTCCCCGAGGAGCGGAGTTGCGCGCGAGCTAGAAATTAAGAGGAAGCGGATACCGTGTCCGGGAGAGAGTTTCAACCGGCTCGAGATAAGGCCGTCGGCAGGCGCGTTGCGGTAGGAGTTGATAAATTATTCGGGCCGGGCGGACCGAAATAGCGGCACGAATGCTAAGGTTAGTAAGGATTATTCACGGCACCCCCGAAAGCCGTATTATTTAGCATCGGTACCTACCACTCGCGCTCCCTCGGCTCGCGCTCGCGCAATTGTCGCGTTCTTCTCCATTACCTCGCCCCGTGGAGTCCCTGCTCCTCGTTCGTTCTCTAACGCTCAACATCCCTCACGCGTCCGCGAGGAGCTTTTTTCGGACCGTGTCCTCTTTGCTCCCTCTCCCGTGTCCTTCCTCTCGAAATAAAGAGCTTTTCGAAGAGCTCCGTAAAGACGTAGAAAAATGGATGCAATTCTCAGAGGAGCGCTCAGCGTTGTTTCGCGTCGCGCTCCTCCCGGCCGGCTCCACGTCGTCGGATCAGAAATAACGAATAGAAACAATTATTTCAAGAACAATAGAATTCCGTATGCGCGTGGTATAATTTGCGGCTGCAACCGCGCGCGCGAATATCCATACAATACCCGATGCGCCCCGCGTGTGTGCGAATGGCTAGGCGTTCGCATCGCGGTCTTCGTCAAGCCGGATCCAGATCGAGCGAACAAACTCGAACGAACAATCGTCAGCACGGTGGCACCGTTCACACTCGTCGAGGCAAGTTATTCATTCGCGCCCGCTCGCTCGGCTTTAATGTCGAAAAAGCGATAACGATCGAGTATAAAAATTGACGGAAGAGACTCCCTCCCCCCCTTTTTCCTACGCGATCGAATGCGCGCGTAAAGAGAGACGGGAGGACGAGTAATGGAAATCGCGAGCGTATCGCGTGGCCCCCGCGTTCTGGTCGAGGGAAGATACAGCCGGGAAAACTTTCCAAGAGCAATTAACCCTCATTCGAGCAGGCTGAATCCGCCGAGCGCCTCGGAAAATTTCAACTAAACTCGCTCTTAGAAATAAACTCCTAGACCCGGAGGCAGAAGGGAGAAGATCGCCCAGAGGGGCGATATCGAGACGCCGGGCTGAAAAGAACATTTGAGGGAAGCGTCGCGGAGCGCGCGATGAGAAACCGTATCTGCGAGAAAAATCCGATTTGCGGAAAGCTGCGAGGACTCGCGGGGCGTGTCGCGCTGTGCGCGACGGTTGGCCGTAATCGAGGATCGATAAGCCCGCGAGTCCGCGATAACGCGAGCGGCCTCATCGGCGCGCACCGCGGTTGGTCGCGTCGCGTTGTTACATACTTAAGCCTCAACCCTTTTTCCACCGAGAGAGAGAGAGATCGTATCGCGCGTCGTAATAATGACGTACTCGTGGTCTTGTCCCCCGAGGTGTCGGAGCGAAGCGGCGAACAATGACGGCGAGTCGTGGCTTTTTACGGAACGACGCTTTCGTCCGACGAGATATTAGCCGCTGATACCGGTATCGCCGGAAGCGGTGAAGCTTGAAATAATTAAATCATGTTCTTACGTAGCGACGGCAGACGCGAAGCCAATCAACTTGCATTTTAAGCCGGTTCTCGCCGCGGCGCGGCGCGGCGCGGAGGACAAAAGGGAGGAGAGAAGGGCTGCATTCTCGCGTATACCTTGCGAAAGAATTCTCGTCGATAATTACAGCGGCTGTACAATGTCGGTCATTAATTTGCAAACTCTTTAGAAAACTCCACGGTTGTAATAAAAATAAAAAGAAGAGGGAGAGACACACCGAGGCTACGCGAACTAGAGCCGTCGGCCGTTGTTTCTTCGGAAAGAAATATTGATTTGCGGTCGATAAGACAATGACGGAAATCACATCAAGTACGTTCGCTGAATAGCGCGCGTGTATCGCTTAATAAATGTGTAAACCGAAGCACTCGTGTATGATAACGGTAGAATATTCAGCGATAATATTTCACGTGCGGCCGTGCGGACTATGTATACGAGTGCGTCTGTAATTATTCGTCGCGCTATCGTTATTTAACTAGATGTATCACCGGCCGTAAAGCGATCGCGGTCGTAACTCACTCGACATTTTACGCATGCGTGACAAATGGATTTTTTTTTTCTATAGGATCCGCGCGATATTTCGGATAATCGCTCGCCCGCCGATATGATTCTGGCTTTACCGCGGGGGCGATTAATGACGCGCGACTCGGAAGCGCGTTCGCCAAACGACCGTTCGACGCGTCAGTTTTAACGGCGCGCTACCGGTTGTACGCGCGGCGCGGAATCGATAATCGAATGAAATTAATTTTAAAACAAACCGCGCCCACGGGCTGAATTCGGGATCGCCGAGTGCATTAACTTAGTCGCCCGGTTATCTCGAAAATGACCACCTTGCGTCTCGCGTATCGGTTATCGGAACGAGCCACGAAGGCGTTGCCGCCGCGTCGCGTCATGTTAATTATGCAAATGAATTGGCTTGATGGCCGAGTCGGATCAGCGTTACCGATACGGGACAATTTCGCGAGAGCGGCGAGAGCAGTTCGTCAGCTGGTCCCACCCGAGTCTCTTCTCAGGACGTTCATCGGCTGTAATCGTAGCCAAAAGTTTTCGCCCACGTTCGGTTTTCTTTCCGTGTAGCGCGACCGGCTCCCTACTTGGCCACTTTTAGCGTAAATTATACACGCTACATAATTAACGCAGCTCTGCGTCTAGCACGCTTTGTGAAAAACGAAGATCGAACAACGTTGCCTTCGTGAATGTATTGGCCGACACCGAGGGGGAAACCGCTGACCAAAATCTTGTACACCGATGCCCACTAATGCCCAGTGGGCATTGCTTTATCTTATTATCTTATTTCATCTTGTTTTATCTCTATAATGCCAAAACCGAGGGGGAAACCGTTGACCAAAATCTTGTACGCCCACTAGGCCCCCCAATGGGCTTTATCTTATTACCTTATTTTATCTTATTTTATTTTTATAATGCCCCAGCAAGGCCCAATGCCCAAACTAATGCCCAAAAATGCCTAGTAATGCCGCAAATCTGTACACCACAAGGCCCTCGGCGGTTTCTCCCCTCGGGCCGACACGCTTCGAAATATCGTCAGTTGGAGCATTTCGAATTACAATATACGCACAAACGGTACGGCTACGTATTCCTATCTTGTAATGTATAATTTCTAATATTATTATGCATCATAGGTCACTTGTCTAGTGAAAATACACCAACAATTTCTACCACAATAAATTAAAATATCCCCGCAGAGCACGTTTCGCGTATACTATACGAGTGACTTCGATGCCGAATGTCTCGACTTGTGGTACGGACACGGTTTTTAAAATTCAGCAGGCATATAGATAACACTATTAACGGCGTATGGTCCAAATTTGCAGCAAATATATAAAAAATCGATTTACCGATGAACGCCCTTGGGTAAGCCATCGCGTCGCGAACCGAGCGGAATAAACGTTAAACCGTCGCGGAAAATCGCCATCTGAAATTTCACATTCGCGCGAGGCGATACTTTTACGAATGAAAAGCCGTCCCCCTTTACCTCGGTCGTAAAGCAAGAAAAAGATTGCGGCGTTGTTTCTCGCGTCGCACCTCTTTGCCCACGACAGTGTCCCAGCTGTTACATGTTAATGTCGCTTAATGACTTACAAATAAATTGCCAGCGATGTGCCGTGACTCATCCATAACGGACGGCACCGCGGAGTCCTTGAGAAAAGTGTTAACACCTGCGAGAGCGACGCGCGCCGATGCATGTAGAGCCTGACGATCGTTTATCGTCTAGGAATCGCTTACTTGGTCTTTAAAGAACGTTTCACCGACGATGAGTCAGTAAGAACCCGATCCCCGTCGCGAGATTGCATTTTCTACCGCGATCGCATAAAGATAATCGAGCGTAGGGAAGAAGAGAAACTCACCGTCACTTCATGTTAACGTATTAATCATCGTAAGCTGAATATGTGTTCGCTTATTAACATTGAGAAGTAGTACTTCTTTATGTAACGACGTCTCCCCGTATCTCAAGACGTCAGGCTCGTAGCCGCGAAATGGTAGATAATGCGCGCGTTTGAATTGAGTGGCTAACAACGCTGAGTAATTCTTTCGCCGCGGAGCGTTTAAAGCTCATAATTCATATTCGGAGCCGGTTGGCTCGGTAAGGAAAGAACCGCGCGGCTCTCCGCTTGAAAAGTCCGCCTGTACGCACGTGTATCGGCACGGAAACCGCACACGGCGTATTGAACGCGGGATAAAACCCGGGACACCGATAGCGACGGGAATGCAATTACGCCGCTCTCCAAGAGAAGGACTCACCTTCTTCGACGTGTAGAGTTTCCGACCCTGCAGCAGCATGTACATCTTCTTCCAGTTAGCGGAACTGTGAACTCGCATCCACACCATGCTGAATACGTACGGGCACTCACTGTCCTCTCGTAACAGGTAGCTCTGCAAACGTGACAATGTACACTCGCCCGTGTCTCAGTCGCCGGATAGTCGCCTTCGCCCGCGACGATCGCGCCGGGGCCGGGCGAGAAAATGACGCCCGTGCATACTCACCCTCAGCGCGCTCTCGGCGTCGGTGAACGAGCCCCTCTCCGCCCCGCTGGGAAACGCGATCATGTCCGTGGGGAAAAATTGCTGCAAACAAAACAATTGGGCGGACCGTCACTGCGCGCCGTCATTTTTGTACATTCGCGAAAAAAAAAGAAAAGAGAGAAAACGAAAACGTCGGCGGGAACCGAATTTCGCTTCTAAAACCGACGCGAGGGTGTGACGCGGCGCGGCGGCGGGAAGAGCGACGCGTAGATCTCAAATATTTCGGGGACGGAAAAATATATAAATATCCCTCGCGCTACGCGAGCATCGCTCGGCGAGGCGGATCTATAGACGCGCGCGCGTTACTCAAGAATCTTTTTGAAGATTTCGCCGGATCGAGCACTTCTCGCACACTCGCGGCCAAAGAGTAGCTTCCCCCCCCCCCCTCTAGCGTTACAAGAGGAAAACGCGCCTCGAGATTTCCCCGAAGAGCGTCGATTACGACGCTCAATTTTCCAAGTTTCTGCGCTCGTTACCCTTTAATTGGCCAATCATCGGCGAGATTTATGAACCCGTGGCCGATTGAATTTCCAAGCCGCTAATTGATATCCGTTCGAATATATCAATTAACTTCTGGCCATCTTTGAAACCGCGCTGACGAGTCGGCGTCTCTTCGTGCATTACGCGATTCGCATTCTCCAACGAGATCAAGCGAAGCCGTGACGTACCGCTCGAGTCTCGGCGCGCCGTTTATACTCACGCAATCCCGATGCGTGAAGTTCGAAACGGAGCTACGCGCTCAATCCTGTAAAATCCCAGGACACGAATGTTCCAATCAATACCACCGAATCCTTGAGACCCCATCGCCGCTCCCGATATCGGAAAAGCACCCCTCGCGCCATCTAGACGGTGCCTCTCCACAACGTTCGACCTCGCGTACGACTGCGCCGCCGGTACTCGTCGGTAAGCGAGAGATCTGCCGGATATGCCGCGGGTATTCTCGTACCGACGACGTTCACGTAGAAACCGACACCGCTCGCGAGGATACCGGACGAACCGCGTCGTCAAATGCAGCCGCGCGACTGCAACGCGGCTGGTAAGTGCAGCCAGTCGGTAAGTTATGCGCGCTTGGATCGAGCAGAATCTACCGTTTTCCGTGACGAAGAACTCGATCGTTTTCCGAGGGTTTTTCCGACTCCAGCGTTATTTTCGGCGAGATAACCAAATTCTCTGTTTTCTCACTTACCACGGGCTTGATGAACACTTCGTATTTCAGGAAGTCCTGGTTAAAGTAGAACCTCCTCTCGTATCGGGAAGCGAACATTTCCAATTCCCTGTGAACAGCGAGAATATCTTCGTGGTCTTCTAACGTGCGTTCTGTAACCAAAAAAAAAAAAAATCCGGTTTACGTTGACAAACACATTGCCACGCTTCCGTTTCGAGTACAGAAATATATTCAGCGATTCGGGAGACGCAAGTCGAATCGAATATGCGAGTACGTTCCCGGATTGTCGTATGAAAAGAATTGTTTTCTTGTACTTATTACACCGTAAACAATAACCAAACGGCTCGATCCTCCGTCACGTTACTGATCTTAAAACACGCGGTCCTTCTTACAGCAAAATTAATTAAGAAATAAATTTTGACGAGTCCCAATAAAGCGACCTTCGCGGCCACAATTAGCTCGTCTCGTCACGCGATTAATTCGTAAAACGATTCCACGGAAAGCACGTGAGACGCGACTAGAATAGCGTGACATTTCGCCCGGATCTCTAAACAAACATTACGTACGGAGACACGGCCGCGAATCGCGTCTCTGACCTGCACCAAGCTCCTGGAGGTTTCGCCCGCTATTGATTCTCGGCTGCATTATAGAGCTCTGTGCCGTCTTTACGGCCTCTCCAACCCCCATTCCTCCCCTCTTCCTTTCCCCCCTCCCCTCCTCCTCCTGCCCCTCGCCCGTGCACACGTTATTTCCGATCTCGTTCCGAGTCAATGCCGCGGAGAGAATTTAGACGAGTGAAGTTTTTCCGATGCATTAGAGGCTCGTTGCGTCACCTCGCCCTGGCAACGCCTCGAAACTCTTAACGAATTATCCGCCCCTCTTCCGCGCGACGATGTTCTTGTAAATATAAATTATTTGTAGAAAGGGGAGAGAGAGATTGCGCCAATGTGAGCCACAAAACTAACGGAACTCGGTTCTCGCAATTTAGAATCAAAGATTCCCCTTTAATAGGTAAACGTTTCGACCCTTCTTCGGGTCTTCCTCGGTCAAAATCGAGGGGGGGAAACCGCTGAGGGCATTGTGGTGTACAAATTTGCGGCATTACTGGGCATTTTTTCTGGCATTAGGCCTTGGCTGGGGCATCATAAAGATAAAATAAGATAAAACAAGATAAATAACATAAAAGAAGACAACGAGCTAAAGTAATGCCCACTGGGCATTAGGGGGCATTGGTGTACAAGATTTTGGTCAACGGTTTCCCCCTCGGTCAAAATTGATTGTTACGGATCCGTCCCTCTGTCGGGTTGTTATTCAGCCCCTCTTTATGTCTGGCACCATATGGAGACTCACTGATATTAACACAGATAGAAGTATGACTCTGAAGTCACATACAAATTTGAAATTTCTTGTAAAAATTTAATAATTGATTCCAAATCGTGAGAACCGAGCTCCGTTCATTTTGCTGCTCACATTGTCTCTCTCTCTCCCTCTCTCTCTCTCTCTCTCTCCCCCCTCCTTTCTACACATTTTCTTTTTGGAAGCCTTCGCAACACTTTGGTATTATAAATTATTTATCATCGCGCAAACTCGTCACCGCGCTCTCGCAAATAGCTCTCGAATCGCGTCGCACGCAATAATCGCATAATACTTGGAAAATATCCAGCGATTCTCCGCATTTCTCTATTCATATTCCCAAGCATATTCGTCTCCATCCGCGTTATCGCTAAACCCGATAACAATTCGGGATATCGAATTAACCGTTTAATTCTGTAAATTCCGTCCATTATGTTTGAGTACACGTTTATTACATTTGTATATCTTTGAATTGTACGGGCACGCATTGCAGTGATATAAATACAAATGTATAAAATTATACACATAGATTATTGAGCGTGCACGGAATATTCATATTAAAAAAAAAGAGGTATTGAAAAACAATTCCGCGAATAACATCCTAGTGAATGATCGCGCAAAAGAGGACAATCGCAAAAGTGTAGTCAATGGCACGTCGCTATTCGCGCGAAGAAACATACAAAAGACGAGCTTATTGACTAATCGTTGACTACATTTGCATTCCAGGAGAAATCGGAAGGAATGCGTAGATTCGCTGAAAATAATCGCTGCGACGTGATTTATTTACGATTAATGATTTTACATACCAATTCCCAGTTTCGGCCACGTCTCCATTATCGACCAGGCTGCGCCGATCGTGTTCCTCTTGACTTTGAGCAACTCGCAGAGATCGATCGTTCGCAGATTCTTCTCCACGATCACGGTCGTGAAAGAGTGGTCGTTGTTGTAAAACCGCAATTCTTCCTAATTAAACAAACGTTGAAAAAACATTAAACACACAAACGATTGAATGACCGCAGTCTAATCGAACAGACTCATCGAGCGAAATTAATTGGCGAATCTTCTTTTCTATAAGCCTCACTTAATTAATTTTTCTCCGCGCGTTGCAATTAAATTATAAAAATTCTCTTGTACAATTTACATTTTACATATTTTGCAGTCGGGCAAATTTACATAAATTAATAAATGGTAATAAACTTACAAATAAAGGTAGCGCGATATCGGAAAATGTATGCAATACTTAAATTATTTCGACCTATTTTTACGAGTCCTGTTATATTTCTCTTCATTTTTTCATCGTAATAAATTCCATTTATACAAAAAACGCGATATAAAAATTCACCATTCATCCGCGCGATTTTCCCGGGTACGCGGGATATAATCGCGAGATAGAGTGCGGCCATTTAAACACGGGATACTTCGGCACGTACCTGTCTTTCGCTGTCGATCAAATCTCGATCGCCTCTTCGACTGCTACGTATCGTACTGTTGAGTTCAAAGATCGTGAGGTCGGAACCGAGCCGCTCGTAGCTCGCGACTCGATTGCTCGGCAGCGTCGAGCTGCCGTCGAGGCAGGAGCACATCTTCGGCAACCAATCTGTAATGGACCCAGAGAGATGCTAGAGAGAGATTGGCGCGGCGGGTTGCGGGCGACAAATAAAAAGGGAAAAGGATTACGCAGGTGAAAGTAAAAATCGCACAGAATGTCAGTCCGTTTAAAAAAAAAGAAGAACACGCTAAATCTAACTATATAAATATAATCAAACTATATAAATATAACTGCAAAGAGGCGTAAGAGAGCGAGCCCGCTGTACTAGAGATCTATTTTACAACTTGGGCTTCACAGGATCTACATGGCCGGGATGGAGCCACTACATTATCGATGAGTGAACGTGGCCCCCTCTCGTCTCACGAGACACAAAGGAAGAAAAGTAAAGTGTTGAAACATTAAGGACAAAACGTGACGTCGTGCTGTGAAATCGCGGACGGCTCCCCGGCCGAACTTTTCGTTCGAATGGCCAATAACTGCACGTCGGAATATCGAGACGCAATGGGATAAGGTGAGTGACTACGTGTGTGCCGCGGCATTGAAGACGCACCGTCGTGCGTGGCGCGCGAGCCGCATTTACATACGCGAGCCGTTGCAACGCGGATATTTATTTACGCGCGCAATTTTGCCGGCGCTCAGTCATCGGCGTCGCCTCCTATTTCCTTTTCCTTCGGAAGACGATGATATATCCAACACGTAGAGTCGTAGGAGAGTTATTTCAGAGAACGCTTAACGAAGAGGAGTCAGCAAAAATACATATCGCTAATCCGAGAAATCGCCGTGGCCAGAGGCACCTTTTCCAAGTCTTGCGAGTTCAATTTTTAATACAGACTGTTGGACGACCGAGTATCACGAAGCAGGAATACCGATAATGCATTGATGAACGTCTCATCTATTTCGATTCCTAATACACTCTATTTGTGATCCACATTATAGCAATTTGCATAGACTTATATTAGGAGAAAAGACTACAGAGAAAGATTCCATTTCAAATATTAATTCTATTGCAGATGTTTATGCCTGAGAGTCAATAAATTTTAACCAAATATTATTTAGATAAGTAATATGTTAAACAGATTCTATTACTCTCGAGGAGTAATTCTATTAATTCTTCTACTAGAACGTTGAGAACTGAAATTTAAGGCGCCTGAAGTGAAAAAAGGCTGTTAAATGTCACCGCAATTGTCTACGTTTTTCTGTAAAATTTTCCGCGAGAAATTAATGTAATGTTAAATCGCAGAAGCCCACGCAAATGTGGGAAATGTTAGGAAAATTACAAATTTCATTTCAACGACTTGACGTAACGGCACTCACTTGAAATTAAATCAACAATCAACCCGATTACCTGCTCCCGGAATCTTTCTTTCTGGTGCTCACGCGGAATTCCCACTTCGCGAACTAACGTTCGCCCTATGCACTCGCGCAATGCATGTTTGCAACCTAATTGAAGGATTCTCCGGCTAGCTCGAGCGCGCAAAAGTCGTCGCCGTTATGTCGCAGAGATACCTTGAAGAGATGAATAGCGCCTTAATAATCGTTCGTCTGTCCTGTATCCGGGGTCGTGACGACGCAACAGCAACGCGAGTGCCCACGTGTAAATGCTATACATGTACGCCAGCTGCGTCGATACTCGACATATCCGTCGAATTCGCTCGCCGTGAATTAGCGATCGTTTCCACGAACGATCAATAGCAGGAGAATAACGCAAGATGACGGAAAACGGAACGGTAAATCTAACAATGAGCAATCGATATCGAGCAAAATCTTATACGAATCGAAAAGTCGAATACTTTTCGTCTCTCCCACTTGACTGATCGAGTCGTTCTTTTCCTGAACTTTGTAAATTAAAATCTCCGTTGAAATCGTTATATTTTAAGAAGGGCGAGTACATAAAGTGAAAGAAAATAAGAGGAACTTTTATCGTGATACGATTGTTATGAAGTTTCAAATGGAAATAATTTTACCGACAAATTTATAATACGAAGAAGTTATGGGACACTGTTCTGTATTGACACCAGATAGAAAGACCGACTGCAATAGCGAATAAAGAATTTCGTGAAGACTGCTCAAAATCGAGCAAAATCTTGCACGAATCAAAAATCGTCGAATGCTTCTCGCCTCTCCCACTTGACTAATCAAATCGTTCTTTTCCTGAACTTTGTAAATTAAAATCTCCGTTGAAATGGTTAAGAAAGGCGAATACATAAAGTGAAAGAAAATCAAAGGAACTTTTATCGTGATACGATTGTTATGGAGATTCAAGTGGAAGTAATTTTATAATATAAATTTGCAAATTTATAACACGGAGAAGTTATCGGACACTGTTCTGTATTGACACCAGATAGAGAGACCGACTGCAATCGCGAATAATGAATTTCGTGAAAGCTGCTCAAAATCCAAGATAACGTACACCGTATTATCGCGAGATGATAAGAAATGCAAATGTCTTACAAACTGCTTTGAGATCTCTAAATTGTCGCTGATAACGATCATGAATGCTAACGTAATTCACTCCTGTTGCAATGTGCTTTCGTATTTTAAAGAACCCTGGCGTTTTCGTTAAAGTAAATAGATAAATTGAAAGCGAGCCACTCAAACGAAATAACTGCCATTGCGTATATAGCTAATTAATTCCTAGTATCTTGAAGTTTTACACCTAAAGTTTTCATAGTCAAATTGACAGACTTATTTATCCAATAGAGTTTTTTTTCTCTTTACAATGTGCGTAATGTTTGTGTGAAATCGTAATTTTACAAATGTTTATTTTCGAAACCAGATTCCGAGGTAATAATTAAATTCCCAGTGGGCGCAGCTTGACAATGATAAAACGCAATTAAAAGATAATTTCATATTCTGCAATTTTTGCGAACGTGCAATCGCGAAAGGAATCCCTGTCGTGGGCTACGAGAACGCCAAGAGTAAGCCTAATCAGTGGACCGATAACACCGAGTGCGGGGGCATGCTCTCGAATTAGCGGGCCACGTTGACCGTTTATTGCGGCAATTAATTAACCCGCAATCGCTCGGTATGCGGTACGTAAATGCGCAAAGCGCATAATGTGGAGCGCCGCTATTGCAGTTGCCTCTGTTTGCGACATTTCCGGATAACGTGAATGAATCTGTGCAGCACCTGCTACTGTCCTAATAATAAATTTTTACTAAAGTAAAATATATACTGATTATTAACAAAATGTTTTCTCTCTATTTATTGTACTAACGAATCCATTTTGGCCGCTGTAATAAATCTATTAACCTCTCGTTTTCGAGTAACGTATATCGATTAAATAAAAATTAGATTTAAAAAACTGCTATCGGGATGAGAATTTCTCAAGCGTTCTTTATAAGAAAATACTATTTTCTGCCTAATTTGAAATTGCACATATAAAAATCATTCTAAAGTTAACATATTCTTCGTACAACTAGTTTTATCTCGAAGATTTTATAAAATTCTAATGGTCGTTCTTGATAGCTAGCGATAAAATGAAAAAATTTTTCGTCAGTCTTTGACATAGCTAGGTCTCTAAAAGTTGTAACGATTATCGTCAACACCCGAATTAATAAAACAAAGTTGTAAAAATTGTGATAATTTTTCATAATTATTGGTTGGAAATATTCTACAATTCCGCGAATACAACTTGTCGTCGGTAATTTCTCGAGAGTTCTGTTACATCGAAAATTAAAGTTCAAATCAATACTGATTGAAACAGGAGTTATAGTCATTATTCATAACGAGAATAAAAATTACGTATGTACGTTTTTATATTTTTAGTAAATTTGTGGAATTCCATTGTAACTAATGCCGTTTTGAGTCTTCTCCAAACAATTATTAGAGATTTTTAAACGTTAAAACAGTACGTTTTAAATGTTTTAAAAGCTCTAAAGTTGTTTGGAGAAGAATTAAAACTGCATTAGTTACGATAAAATTATAAAAAATTACTAAAAAAAGATGATAAAAACATACATACGTAATTTTTGTATTACATAATGACACCGTTCGCGAGTTTCACAATCGCGACTGCAACCTTGGCCTACTCGCGTCTTTACCTACTGATATACTATATTATCCTATTCCACCATTTTGCCGCTCCTTGCAACAATCCGCCGATTGTCGCATATCTCTGTTCGCAACTGCAACCTCGGTCTTTATATCTGATTTCGAGAGAACGGATATAGAATCAAAAAATACTAAAGTATCAACACGTTGTATCTTCGTTTGTACCTTCGGTGCATTTCTTCTCCATTCGACCTGACATTTCTCGATAACGAAAATATCATTTATAAGTAATTATATACGTCAAATTAATGTAGTATGTATTTCATGAAACAATACATTCGGTCAAACTGTTTTAAGCGTAATTTTTCAAAATACTCTTTGCATCCAGAAACATTCTATTTTGTAGCCAATTTAAAAAATTTGTGCAAGTTGATAATTGTACGTTCTACTTCGTACCATCGTACATTGGTCGGTAAATTTTTCAAGCGCTTCGATTTACTTACATAAAATAGAATGTTTCCAAACACAATGTAGATCAGACTTTAACCTTCAATTATAATCGTGTAGAAATTTTTAAAAAAAACCTCGACATGATTCTCGATGTAGGTTTTAGGTTTAAATTTGCATTGGACGTTCAAGTATGCGCGAGCGGCAAATTTTACTACATCTCTCAAATCTTTTGAAACTGGGACAATTTCGTCGGCGGGAGTTATTTGTGTGGACGTAAACTGCAAAAGTTATTCGCTCTTTGCGCTTTCTTCAAGTCCCAATTGTCGTATTTCCAAGTGCTCGCGCCAGACAACGGGGATTCCTAATCGTCGTTGTCAATCACGGCGATAACGCCGTTATATTTTTGCAGATATCACAAAGACGAATAACTTCAGCATCCCGCCCACGACGTTGCTCCAAGCCGCGCTCGCAAGCTACGCGATATGCGGGCATCTACCTGTCACGATGACGAAACCGGGTCGTTCCATAGGCACAGGCCGGAACGTGCGCAGTCGCGCCGAGAAAAATAACCGGTAATAACGGAGAGAAACTTGTCTCTCGTGCCT